CGTCCACTAAACTTAATGAGTAATGTAGGGCTCCACCTATAGTGCGAGAGGTTGAAACACTGATTTTTCTGGCAGCTTCATAGAACATCATGAGTAGAAATATCAATCATATCAATAGAAATTATTATTCAACTAATATTTAATCATTCCATGGCTGTCCTTAAACTGAATGTAACTTTGCTGTTCTTGCAGTGTTATCTTGGATCAATTTGTTTTGCATAAACATGACTAAATTGGACAGAGAAGACTCACATTCCACCCATCCCCTCTCAGTGACCCTGGCCGCTCACCACAGGCTCATCGGACCAGTGTGTACTTGTGTGTGTACATCTCAGAGAGGAGGCCTTGCCATGTTGCCCATTTCTCTGTGGTACCACCATCTGCCCACCGTCCTAGTACAGACCAGAACAGCACGACTCTTCACACACACACACACACACCCACATGCATACACACACACACACACACACATATACACACACATTCCCCATACCCCCTGTCCCGTCTGTGGTCTTTGGTCCAGGTGGCTTCTCACCAAATGACCAACAGAAGATGGACAAACACGCAGCATCCTACAGTATGTCTGCTCCTCTGATATTTCTCCTTCTTTATGCTTGATTATTGTGGCAGTGGGGTGTCAGTCTGTCCCTCCGCCTGTTCTTATCCTCCAATGGTTTATCCTGTTGGCTTGGTTTGAACTTCTGTCATTATAAGTACGAACTACTTGGTATCTGAGGTGTTGGCACGTAAAATACTTTTTTTTATATAACTGCTGGATACTGGTGAACATCTTTTTATAGCTCTGAGTTTGAATGGCCTATATATATGAATCATCTGCATTTGACCCAACCTTCAGTGCTACTAGGCCATCTGCCAGGGGATATGACTGGACAATATGTGTCTGCTATTTGGTCACATCATATTATCATGATTCGTTGCTTTTACAGCTTTATATTAAAATAATTACTGCCCTGTTTGGAATGCTCCACAGTATGACATTAAACAGATCTACCTTGCATTTATTCAATTACAGGTGGTTTTATTGTTCCAAAATACCTAGTAAAACAGATATTCTGATTACCACTACACAGATCTGATCTGTAACTTGGTCTGGTTTGATCTCTGTGATGCAAAGGTTTAATGCCATACTATGAAACATTCCAGATAAAGTAATCACATCTCCATAGACAAAAGTAGGTGGCGGACCCCCCAACAGAAAAGTTATACAATGCAGCCTCAAGCAAGATGGCTTTAGTTACCTCTTAAATACTATAAAGTTATAAAGAAACAAACAAAATCAGAACTGTTATCTGACTGTAAGAAAATCGCAATATGAATTCTTTTGGCATATTGTCCAATTCTATCTGGGAACATACCCTAGAGATAAGAGCTTGGTTAAGAAAACTTGAGGACCACCCCTTAAAACATTAAAAAATAAATATAAAAAGTAAAAAACACAAAATGCAACACTACTTTTTTTTTTTTTTTCTTCAGAAATTTAAATGAATCACATCTGTGGTGTTATATCGAATATCTGTCTATTCCTTTGTTAATTATTTATCTAAATGTACAACAAGCTCATTGTCTTTGTATGCATGTAGAAAATGATGCATGGTATGTACAGTCTGCATGTGTTGCTTTTTGCCAATACGACTCCAAACAGCTCTCCTCAGAGGGGTGTCATATGGCAGGCCTGCGTTGTGTGAAGCCGGGGGAGGCTGGGTGGATGGGGGCGGATGAAGGCAAGGATAAAGTTAAAAAACAGGAGGAGGGGAGTCAGCGTGCTCTGTTCTCTGCTTTTTGCCTTTTGTTCTGAGAGATAATAACTGTCTCCACCCCCTGACTCTAGAGAACCTGCAGGGATAGCCCCTAGTATTGGGAAACATGAGCATCCTGCAATCCAGCTCTGCTTATGACAACAGAGGACGCCAATCTAGTGGCCTGATTTCCATGGTGCCTTGGAAGCATCCGCAAGCCACATGACTCACTGCGAATTAAGAAAGAAAGTGCTTGGAACGGCAACTGTGTCAGATAACTCATTGTCAATTATGAATGCCCTAAGTTTGGCCTACATTGCTTTTAATTCAGGCCAAAACTGGGAGATAGGAAAACACACACATACAAGGACTGCCAAAAACCTGGGGTGGCAGTTGGATGTCCTTCTCCACCCAAAATACAAGAAAGAGCCATAAGTGACCTGGATTTTAGAATGCATGTTATTTTAGCATGGTCTTACCACTCTGATATAAGGGAAGCACAAAAATGGACACAACAGATAACCATGAGAGGTGTGAAAACGTTGCTCCGTTTGCAGCGACCTGCTTGTGTGGAACAGCATCTGCAACCCACATAAAATCTAAAAATAATGCACCTATCATTGACTGCTACTATGCCGTGGCCTGTACATGAAGTGTGTGATTCAGAGCATGTTTGCTAGTGATATAGCTCTACAAACACACAAACCTGAGAATTCACTGAAATAGGTTGTCTACATATACTTGACTTGAGGTTTATTTATGCTTATTGGTCAACATTCTTGGTTAACCATTACTCTAAAAATTAAGTAGGCTGCCTTAAATTGTGCTGGTAATGGATTGCAGGCTTAGCTGCTGTTAATTTTGGCTGCAAGAGCAAGATGCAGAAGACTGAACTAGTTCTTCAGTGACAGATGACTCAAGGATGCACCAATTGTTCCTAGGACAGAGATCTCTGAATTAGAATGGCCTGTTGTACTCTGCATGCTAACCAGTGTGTCCACAGACTGGCTAGTCTAAAGGCACTCAGAGGGCTTGCACAGCCTATTGTTTTAGACATGTCCACTTCATTATTTTCACCCAAGTGTGTGCATATACATTATATTAGGAGTGTGATATCAGTCCATTTATTTGTTTGGATAGACTTCTTCTCTACAGTGATATCTCAAGAATTAACACAGAGTGTTCTGCTGGTAATTAACAAAATGACTGCCCTCAATATAAAGACAAATGATAAAGAAGTGTGAGAGATAGCATCGACTGAGGCCAGGCCTACTGCAACAGATGCCAATGAAGAAAAATTATGGCAATTGATGCCCTATGTCTCAAAAGGGGAGGAGAGGATTAAGTGTAAATTAAGCAGATAAATATCTTAATCACTGGCGCACGTCAAAAGTGTTACCTCTTGGAGGTCTGTGCTGGGGTTTGTGTATTTATCTACATTTTAAAAATAAGGCTAATGTTGTTTTAAAGGTTCCAGCGCGCATTGGATCCTAGTTTAGGCTGCACATGACATATGGGAGCATCTTACTTTTCTGAATTTGGAAGTTGAGGAGTTGTTCATTTCTCTCTGTAATACGAGGACATCGTATCTTGTCCTTCCCTCCCTCTGCGCCCATGCACGCCTCGCTCTCACACTCCGTACAGGTGCGGGAGCGCAGCGCCTGGATTCTCTCCTCCAATTAGGAGCACGGAGCGTGACCACGTGAACAAATCCTGTCATCTAAATTCCCGATGAGCGGAGAGGCTCGGAAGAAGCGGTAGCGCTGAGAGCCAGAGCGGAGAAGTCACAGGACAGCCCGGACATGTGCAGGTAAAATGCTTTTCTACACAGCTTCACACTAATTGCGCCCGCATCCTTTCTCCGGCTCTGCTGGGACAGTGCATGAGGGAGGAACATGCCTGTGGGACATCACATTTGGAGGAGGGGGTTCAGATTTGCCGGATGGAGGTTCTCGCGTCTTGTTGCGATCCGCGGACAGGACAAACGCATCACGGGCCGGTTGTTCTGCACCGTCTGCGCATTAAACTCATCCGGGCAGCTCCTCCCTGCTCTCTCTATCTCTCCCCATACGTCTCCCAGCTACACGAGGCTATTGATAGTTGACAGAAGCCGTGTAATCCCGGACTAATCTGGTTGACTGGCCACAGCCATTTGTGAGGAGCAAGAATGTTGCTTGAACTTTATGTTGTTTCGTTTGGTTTGTTTCAGTAGTGACGCCAGCTTGCCCTGCGACGCGCATTATATGAATAGAGAGTGCGAGTGCGATGCTGCTTTGGTGCTGCATTCAGCCAGGCAGCAGAGGCAAGCTTTTATATGTGAATTATTTATAAGACTGTCTGGAGGAGAGCAATGCTTCACGGAGATGGAGAGCGACATGGGCACGAGATCCTTCTATTTTTGATCAGAAAAGTGGCACATCCCAGGCCGATCTAAATAGCCCTTATTGGCGGTTACAAGTGTTTGTTAAATAACCCGGGCAGTCCGATGGCTGACGCACAGTCATTAAGCGTGAGAGCATTGAAGTGGGCTCTCATTGCCATTATCAGCGGCAGATGTGTTTATGTTGTGTCCCTGAGCTCAGCCCAGGAGCCTGCTGTCACTGGAGGCTGCGGGAACTTGTGATAATGACTCTCTTCAGTGCCCTGACACTGATCAGCGCTGATCTCAGATAAAGCCTTTTCCCCTAAATAACCATATAACAATAACAAATCCAGCTTCTCGTTGGCTCACATAGGCCTACCGTCTTTTTTAACGTTAAAATAGCGTTATTTATTTGGGGACATACATATTTTTTTTCCGAATTCTGATTTTTTATTTTATTTTTTTTACATAGACTTATCAAACAGGCTACTTTGTCCTTCTATACTTGTATCTTCACAGAGGTCACTTGGAAATTATAATCTTGTGCAGTCAGCCATACTACACCATCAAGCAATTAGTCTTGGCTTTTTACAAAAGTTTTGAATTGACCCCTATATCCCTGGAAGGTTGCTCGCTACTCTTGCTTCAAAATGTTTTCCCCATGTTTTTGTGTGTCACGGTGGATCACCTTAATAATCGGACACTCATTCCTTCTGCTGCTTAATACAATAGGATATACCTCAATTCCCACATCTTTTTCAAATTAATAAGCAATGTGGAAGCCCTTGCACATCCATCTTGCCCCGCATCCTACTGATGTGAATTGAACCCTCCGCACATGCGCACTTCGCTTTATGTCCTCTGTGGAGCCTCGTGTGAGAGAACCATGGCACCAGCAGGCGGCTCTCGGGCTCCCGACGCTCAGTGCCGGGTGGTTGTCAAGGCGCAGTGGCTGTAGTCTGTGACTTCCCGTCAACGCGGGTGGACAGTGACAGCGCTGCACTAGTCGGTTCGATACAAGTAGTGCTTTTTCACCTGCACTGGGATTTTTGTATTTGAAAGGGGAAGCTGAGGACTCTTCGCGTTGTTTTCTTTGTAAGTTATTTGATATTTGACTCTGCAGCTTTGCTTTTCTCTGATTTCACTGCGCCTGTAATTGTGGAAGTTCGCGTTACAGCTTAGGCTACTATTTCAAAACTACCTGCGCTTGGTTTGTTGTGAGTAATATAGCGCTTTGGGCTGTACGTAACTTACTTTATTTTTGTGTTCCGTTGCTGTTCATGCTTATTGGTTTGAACGAGAAACTCCACACGTGAAGAAACGCTCCGCGTCAATGTGTTTTGACTCCCGTTTTTACCAAACACGTTTTTGCACATTTAAACGATCCCTTCGCGCACTGACTCATTGTATCTATTTACGAAAGGGGAACTAGGCAGAGACTGCACTGCAGTTCATCTTTACAGCAGGTGCCTGCGTGTTGCCCACTTCCGCACTGTTCCTTTTAGATAAAGCTAACTTTTATGTAGACATTCGTCTTTTGCCCAAATAAGTTAGACAATGTAGCCATTTTACGCATGGAACGCGGTTGAAAGGAATAATATAACTATAGGTGGTATTTCCTCACTTCCTGACATTGTTTTCTTTTGTTTCACTTTATAACTTTTTGCACACTTTCTCATTTAGGCTTTTTAGCTTGTTTATTTTATATTTCTCAATTATATAGGCCTGAAAAAATTAACCTATTTGCATTATCATTGTTATATGCATAAAATGTAGCCTCTTTTTTTATTATTCTACCAAAAACATGTTGTCATGGCTTGTTTACATGTCTCACAAAGAAATGCTGCACTGTGTGCTCTGCTCTCCATTCCTGCTGAACCAGCCAGTTGGCATACCAGTCTCATAGCTGTTAACCTCATGCCTTATTTCTTGGTCTTTTAAAATAATAGCTGGCATAATTCACCTATCGACATGACCCCTACGTAACTCCAAATACTTTAAGAACTGTGTGTAGTTATGAGAATTAGCTTTTATCTATCAGTGTTGGCACATGTTGCTTTTGCATTCTATTAATTGTCTGCTATGGTCCAGTGGTTTTGGTCTGTGGCTTAACTGGTTTCACTTGGTAATCACTTGGCTGTGTCTGGTGGTCTCAGCTTGACTGGTGGAGTGTAGCCATGCTGTTATTTTGGTATTGCTCCACCCTGCTCCACCCATTAGCATGGACACCCTATCACACCTGTTATGTTAGGGCAAGAAATCGTGTAATATTCTTCAACCTTAGTGACTGTTTGTCTGATAGTTGGCTGTATAGTGAGTGTGTCTGTGAAGCTTCAGGCTATGATTTTCTAACCTTTTGGTAAGTTTTGACAGTGAGCGCTCTCTCAGTTGTGAGAGATAAGCCAAAGTGAAGGCTCTACCATTAGGAAACAGGGCTGTTCTGAACAGGATGCGTCTAGTTTTTACATTCTCTTTTTATCAGCATGCATGACTGTGCTGTCATTTCCTCATTCATTCTGTCTCACGCATGTTGTCTTCTGTCTTTCTGTATCTTATGTCATCATTCTGTTATCAGATTCTATATGGCTTTACACATTGTACACATTTCATAAAATGTGTTATGCTACTGACAATGCACAAGTTACTGTTACTAATATGGTTCCATATTGCAAACAAATGTCCATGTCTCTTCTGACGTTTTGTGTGCAGGTGAAACCAGATCATAGGTGCTGCAATAGGAACACAACATGCTGACAGTGTGGTTGTTTGGTGCAGACCATGATTACATTTCCCATTTCAGCTATCCTGTTCAGTGAAAAACATGAAAGTCCCATCATCATATCCCCACAACCCTTGCTAGCAACTTCCTGCTCTTGTCAAGTGTTTTTTGTTCCAAACTGTGGAGACTCCTGCTCTAGGTCTCTGGGTCAGAGCCTACCAGATCTCTAGCACCATGACACATTTAGTCTGATGAGCAAATGTACTGCTAATCCAATTGGCTGGGGCAGTAGTAAAAGCTTTTCTAATTGGCCCGTGTGGCAGCTGGCTGCCTTGGCTCCTGTAAGCACAGTGGAGAGTTAGGGGGTCCCAGAGGTGCAGTGGTGCAGCATTGAACAAAAGGGAGAAGGGAGAGAGCTTCTGCTTTGAATATCATTCCACACAGCGTCATAAAAACAGCCATCTGCACCTTCCTCATGCTCTCTCCAGCTGACCACGAGCTGGTCTCTGATTATTTCTGTTGGCCACACACACAGACATGCAAATATAGCACACACACACCAGCTCTCCATCTGCAGCCACATGCAAGCTTTCATCATGTCAACATGTTTGAGGAAACATCTTAAACTGGAGCAGAAACAAATGCTGTAAGAGGAACATGGCCCCTCCTCTTCCTTCATGTGTGTTTCTGTGTTTGTCACATAGAAGGAAGAGCAGGAAAAAGTCTGCTGCTAACAGCCGCTGCAGCCCGCCTGCTTCCTCTCACCTCACTGAGGAATCCAGGAATAGCTCCCAGTCACAGAGATGAGACATATGAGAGAGACAGAGAAAGACGAAAGGACAGCACAAGGGACAACAGAGACACAGAGACATGAAAGACAGTGACTATATTATTGTGCCATATAAGGTTCCCTATGTTCAGACCAGACTAAATCCTTCTCAATATAACACAAACACTGAACCTGCAGTGAACTGCTGAGGCTGCGCTGGTCCACTCACTGTTAACTTGAACTTTGCCTCTGTACAGTCAGACTATAGAGCTTACATAGAGCCAGTTGTTACCAAACAACACTATTTGCATTGTTTGCCAGAGTTTTGCCTCTGTAGTTTATGCAAAAGCACTGGGTTACTTTTCACGCAGTATAAGAACAAAATAAATTCCTCCTCATAATGAAGCGCTATTGTGTGTCAGCATAGTTTAAAAGGTCACTGCTTATGTATAATTCATTTATTACAAAATTAATGTGGTGTGCTTTGTTGATGACAGTTCCTTTCAGTTTACATTCCTTTATTCATTTAGACCAACCCAATCTGCTTTGCAAATATTGACAAGTCTTACTGCAAGATAAAATATCCCACATTTTAGTATTGATTTGAGGCTGCTAAACAGTCCATCTTTATGAAGTAAAGATAGTTTTCTAATAATAATCACCAAATCCATATAATTGTTTTTAAGCTTGTGTTGCATTGCCTTCCTCCTACATTTCACCTGAGCACTTGGCCTGCTGCTGTACTCATGTCAATCATGTGTGTGATGGATGTGTACATGTAATTTGATGTGTGGTGTTAAAAGGTGCAGTCACCCAGTACTGTGTGCCAGATCTGTTACTGCAGCTGTTATTTTTAACAGCTATAACTGTAACGAAAGTCAGGGCTTTGGTTTTCAGATTTGGTCAATTTATGACCCCTCACATAGGGACATCATCCAACAGATAAATTATGTGAAATATTTGATTATAAGGATTGCCTTGTAGTCTAATATTTTCATTTCACCCTGCCTTAGCCTTCTGGTGTTTAGCTGTGTAAAAGTGAGGTGTGAAAAATACTGTGAGTGTTTTTATTCCAAATGTTTTTCTTGTGAAAATCAAATGGGTCAAGGACAAAGGGACGCCTTCTGCTGTGGATTCAGATCACAGTACCTCAATGGAAGGAGCATTCACCCTTCAACACAAGGCTTTTTGAATGTGAGTTCAGGTCTGGTCACTAAGAGGTACCACTGCCAAAGAAGTAATGCCTTGTTCATGTCCCAGAGTGCTTAGATGTACCATTCATATTCTGCAACTCTGTATTTTACGTCATTTATTGCCTATAGGATAGATTAGGTAAAAGAGAGGAGCTTAATAGTTTGACAGTGAAATATGTAGATCCCATCTGCTCAGTCACTTCAGCTCTTCGGGTGTCATCACAGGCATCAACACAGTACATTTAAGATCCAGTTTACTTGTTCTCCTCCTCAAACATAAGACTACCAGCTTACTTAACCCCGATTATTTTATGTTACTAAACCTCTATCTTTAGCATCGCTGTAACCGTCTCATACTCCTGTTACTGATGAGTGGCCATACTAATGTTGCCCGTTATGAGTTAAAAGTCCAAACACATACACACGGTGCCCTCCACTCCCCTCCCCCATAGCCCAGCTCTGCTTACTGTGTCAAAAAGAGCTTAGATCAGGGAAACTGTAGCTCGGCCTGCTCCTGACTTCCTGGAAGAGATGCTGTGATTTATTTAAAACACACAGCATGGCATGGCACCACAACAGATTTACAGGTCCTAGGCAGTTTTACAATAAATAAATGTATAAATTATTTTAAAATGTAGAGAGATGCGTATACTGCAATGTTGCTATTTCCTAGTGTTGGTGCAGGTGTCACGGTACTAAAACTCAATTTTGGTACCAAGGAGCAATATTTGATACCAATTTTGATATTACAAACAAAAATATAAAATATCTTAACACCAGATAAATGCTGTTATTCATCAATACATTAATACTGATCCATATCAAGATCACACTTAAACAGTTCAGAAAAAAGTTCTGATTTGTAATTTTATTTGGTTTCTTCAGTATATTTATATTTTCAGTATTTCCGTGGTTTTAGTAGCATATTTGGCTGGTACGGTGAGGTACCTAATTGAAGACTACTTAGCGTCTTTTCCGTTTTTGAGTGTGCTTTGCATGTCTTCCCTTTGTCTTAGTTCTTTTATGATTTCAGTTTGACCTTCGTTTCTGAAAAGCTTTCTAGGTGAAAGGGGGATCTCCATATGGTTGACTGATCAAAATTCAATCATTAAAAAAAACTGCTTAGGCACAGGATTGCTAATACGCTGATGCAATGGGCACACCAATTTGCAAATTACCAAGCCTATATGATATAATATGGTGAGAGCATGTGGCAGCAGTATATAGTGGCATTGGTGAGTGGCCGTCCAGTACGAGAAGATTAATTGGTGCTTTCATGTTAAGCCGTGGCGTATCACCCTGTAATTGGTAATGGAGATTATCAGGGAGATGCGAGTCTTGTGTGTGTGCATGGTGGGCTGGCTGAGATTTCTTGATCTGATTACTGCGTTTATCTAATAAAGCAGGATTTATA